GAGAGTCCCTGTATTTTCTCCGCCAACGAAGAGAGGCTGGGGATCGACGGCTCGCGTAGGGATCGCATACTCCGCACACTTGTCAGGAATTTGTTTGACTTTCATCAACAGGTGAGCCGCCAATCCTTTCACTAACCACTGCTCAAAATACCCATATTATTATTTTATTGCTATTTTATACAAATAAATATACTTTCTACATTTACACAGTATAAACATCAATAATTTTAAGTAGCACTCAAAATCCCATAAGCAATATATTATTAGATTTTTGCAGTGTTATTGAAGAGATTTTTGAAAATAATTCCCCAGAATATATGTTTTGATGTTCACATATATTATTCTAAGTCCTGAAATACTAATGTAAATATAATCACTTGATTTTGTTGACCAATTGTTATAAAATATTTATATAAATAAATAACAGCAGAAACACTATTGACACGAACTGATAGTTTATTAATTAATAGCATTTGTCATTAGCTTAATGTATAGATAAATATTGGATGGATATTATTATTGGATTAATTCATTATATTTATTGCAATGGTTTATTGTAAATATTGTACATTATCAGATTTTACATCAAATAATTTGCTAAATTGCAATTAATACCATTGAATGCATTTATGCAATTAACCAGGGATTTTTAAAATATATTATGAAAATTGTTTCTACCTTTTTTATGTAATTTTGAAATTTTTAAAAATTTTAAGGCATAAAATGCATAATAAATTAGAAAATAATTTATACACATTTGTGTGACATTTTCCATATTTAATCGTTTATACGCTTAATATATAAAACATATTAATATATAACAAAATTTATGGAATTTTCGTATAAGAATTCTTTATATAAATTTCATTTATCGTCTCATAAATAGATTTCTTATTTTTTCGGAAAATTCAATAAAAATAAAATTATAAAATATATATAAATTTTGAGCCAAAAATATTTACACTCCTCTAAGAGACGAATAAAATTTTCACTTTTTATACGTTTATGAATATTTGTCGTCAAATTATTGCACAGAATATTCTATACATTTGATATTCAGTGTATAATGGATGCAAAGTTTCTGGTATTTGTGCCATAAATAAGACTTATTCTCTCAGTCTTCTAGTGTTGTGAAGGAAAACGTGAATATTGTCTAAAATGAATGAAATATTTCACGAATTTCTTAATTCAAATCAATTCACAATTGAATCTCTTATCAGGCGATAGAGAGACAGACAGAGAGTACACAAAAGCCATGAATTGAATTCAATTTCATGTAATATATCTGTGTTTTTCTTCTTCGCAGTCAATATTCCTAACGCTGATCAATGAGTACACGGATTGGTCGCGAGCTGTGGAACAGCCCATCAATATTCTGGAGTCGATGGCAGACATACTGAGCGATTCGCTGGTCGTGTCGCCGCTCATACAAACCGGTGATTTGCATTCAGGCCCACCGCTCACCTCATCGATAGCCGGTGCCGTCGACACCACCGCCGGAGCCGGCAAAACATTTTTCTATATATTCACTCATCAGGTATTTTGGTGTCAATTAATTTTCGGACCGCTCTTTCGTCCCTCGTTTAGTGTCAAACAGTGTATTACTTTCACATATATTGTTTGTATTACACACATAGCATCCCTGTGTGGTCACTGACATATGACTTCCGCATAACATCCCTCTTGTTTTTCCCCAACACTATAACAGTAACTGAATTTTAAGCACAGAATCACTGGTAGAGATTTGGGGTTTAGTTTTTTTTGCGGGAAATAAAAACACATTTGATATGAGAAATGTGTGGTTAAAAAGACTATAAGTGAATGGAGAAAATTTAGACAAAAAGAAAATTGTTATAAAATAGTGGATGTGATTGAAAATTGTGAGAGAAATCTACTTTACAATCGCATTCATTGGAAGTGAAAATGTTTTTTTTGTATGAAATAAAAGTGTAAA